ATGTAAATTTGAATATATCATTGTAAGTTTTAGAACAGAATGTCTTTGTATTTCAAACAGAAATCCACACGAAAGGAAGATAATGATAAAAAAAACTTACAAGATTTCGCATTCTCGCCATTCTATTACCTGAATACAAAAGTACACATGAGATTGCGTTTTGAATACGTAAAATAACATCGTAAAATTCAGCAGACCACAAAATAGAACCTTATTTTTAACTCAAAAGTACAGAGCTTCTAAAAGTCTAGAATACTCGACGCAGCGCGTATTTGTCTGACAATATATGCTCAGTACACAATAAGAATCATTTAAAGTACTTTTTTTGAAATTCTTGTACAAATTCAACAACAGGAAAAATAGTCAGACGGACAATAAAACGATTGTAGAACACGTGACAAAGTAAATTTTACATATATTTACTTTTTTTACAAAAATAATAAAGATGCATTAACGGTGAGCTGCAGTGCTCAGTTACAAACTCAAACCTTTTCTACTCACTAACAATCTGAACAACGCCCAAGCCGATCTTCTGTCTCGGAGGTTGTGCACCGACAACTATGACAGGTACAGAGACGGATGAGAAAGAGCCAGTCCCGGCGCCGGTGGTCGTCACTGTCACCAAAACGTCACACGTTGTTCAGAAAAGATACGGATCCGATGGCAAAGACCTACCAACGGTCGCTCGACCACCTCCAATGATCTTTTAAATTTTATCATTATATGATATTTAATTGTCGTTTCCATTTAGATTACAGTTGTTTATTTTTTTAGAACATAGTTTTTGTCGTGTAATATATGACAAATAAAACGTTCACCAAGCGTGTGACGCGGTAAATTTAGCTATAAACTTAGAAATTTCCTGACTTGATATAAATAAGGGAAAAAACTATAAAATAATAAATCTTTACGAATGTTTGAATTAAAGCTATATGAGTATTAACATAGTTGCATTTAGAAATGAAGCGATTACTAAATATTTATTTAAATATTTGGCTATTTTGCATTTCCAATTCGATTTATTATAAAATTTAAAAAACGCCGAATTTTCTTAATAATTATATAATTTGTTTATTGGCGAATAACATGAAAATAATAATCACCTAACGATCAAGTATTTTTTTAAATTGTTTGAACGCTATGCTCATTATCGCATTGCTTTTCCGTATTAGTCCCATTCAGTGGCGGCAACGTCAGAAGACAAACAATAATACGTGTACCGTATTGTATTTACAAGCCGAGTCGATAAGTTCCACGCTCTTGAACACCATATCCTCAACTACCGACGGCGGCACTATTTATTACTCTGTCACAATAAAGTGCTATGCTATATAGATTATAGAATAATAATAAATAGGGTTTCGGTTGTTGGTTCGTGATGTGCGTATACGGGGGGGGTTGTATGACGGTAGCGTTTACAAACGACTTTTTTATAGTATGTTTGGCCTAGTCGCTTTTTTTTATCTCGCTTGTATTGAATGTGCCGGCGTTGTGTGAAGTATTCGGTGTGAGTAATTAGCGTGTTTTCCAGACATACAACGCCGCCGACATCACCATAAGTAGACCATCAGTGTCATTATCACCCAAACTCTTTTTTCCGTTAATGTACATTTGAAATTACTATTTTAAATTCAAAATTTATCGAATATTAAAAAACAGTCAAGTTAAATACTTGAAAAAATTGTTTTGTTCAAAACAAATTATTTCAATGAAATACCACACGCGCGTGCACATTTAACGCATTTCAATGAAATATATTCTAATTCGTGAAACAGTGAATTTGATTTGTGAAAAAATAAAAAACATTTTCCGTTCAAATAAAAAGCTATAAACGAAGCTATTTCATTATAAAAGAAGTTTTCAATTTTATCATTGTCTATGGCTGTCTAATTTAGAATATATCGTTTAACTTTGATATTTAATTTGCCACTTAATGGTATTAACACACCGGGTGGTGTTCTTGGTTTAAAACAAACGGGCGGTTGAATTTTAATGAAACCTTATTAAAATCGGTGATTTAATTTGTATTTTCCATTCTAAACCAGTCTGTGGATCTGTCAGTGTGGTCAGATATACGGAATTATAATCGATTCATCGGGTAGATGGTAAACCGCTGATATTTCGTCGTCGCTGTATGACAAGTAGTGGCGAGCACCACTTGATCTTATGCAACATGAACTAGTGTACATGTATACCTATACTATCAAACGAGCCTTCACACGGCCTGTCATAATGCCACGCTGTCACAATCTTAAAAATGATACAGCAATGATGGCGCACATATAACGTACAATCGATCCGTTTGAAGTGACCGAGTGCATAATTTTAATTATTATTTATTACAAGCTTAATATCAATTCGGTTATATAAATGAAACCATTAAGTTTCGAAACGAGTCTACTTTTAACCGTTCTTCGTATTCTGGCAATATTGAAAATATTTAAAATATGTGTGTTACTAACAATTTTTCTTGTTCTCTTCAAAAGTTGTTTGCCAATTAAAATTGAAAGTTTGTAAAATTCAAATTAAAAATGTTAATTATTAATACAACCATGTTAATGGTCTTATAAAGAAAAATAATTTATACGCTATGAAAATAATTGACATATTAGTATATTAATTTTTAATTGAGTGTAATTATTAAAAATGTTTTTTTCGTCTGAATATTTTCCAGATATCCAACTTATTACCTGTATAATGTGTCTACATCCGAAAGTGTACAATAAACTCAATTTCATTGGTGTAGTTCAAAAATGAAAAAAGTGTAGTATATCTTTCATACGTATACTAATTGTCACGCATTCATAAAGTAGAATTATCTAATCAATGTTGCCATTTGAATAGTATAAATATTACTTACACAATTTTAAATTGAACTATTAAATTTTAATAACATGTAAGCAATTAAAGTTATTATTTATAAATATTAACATGTTCTCCAGAGATTTCTTAATCAGTTTCATGAAAGGTCAAATATTTCTATAACTATAAAAGGTCAATTTTTTTTTCTAAAAAACATACATTGAGACTAGACATCATAAAGAAAGGAGTAATATCTTCTTTTTTCGCTTGTCAAAATTTACAAAATCTAAGACAATCCTTTCAATTACACGGAATCCTTTTCAGTTCACAATTAAATATTTCTTCTATTATCGAGTTAACGTTTAATAAGTAAATTATTATTTAATTTACAAGTTAACATTTTTACATACGTACAGTTTTTCCATTGGTAAACAGTATTGGATGATTTTAGATATTATATTTAACAACTGTTATTATTTTGATTTTTTAGTACGTTAATAATGATTTGCTAAGAAATATAATAACAATACACCAAAAACATTACATTTTGATTTACATAGAATTCATATTACTCAAAATTATAAATACATAAAAAATATTTTGAGTGTTTGCAATTACCTATACATGATAAAATCTTTTTAAACAATTTTTTCAGACGCACTTGTATTCTATAACTGCTGATATTATTTTTACTTCCATCAACATAAAAATAATACTAAGGATTTACTCTGCGGGATACTTTTATACACCAGTAGCCTATACGGTTCGTTTACCTGTACATACAGCAGTCGACTTGTCACTACACTGTTTACCTGCATCAAGTTTCTATATCCTTTATATTTTAGTTAAAAACGGTAATTATTACTCAGATGTATCTTCAAACTAAGATATTCATACGGCAGTAATTTACATTTATATTAATTCCGCTTCAATTTATAGACGCCACTGATTAATGTTACATAAATTCTGAATATGGTTTTATTTTATTTTTGAATTATTACTTGAGTATATAAAGAAATTTTCTTACAATACGTTTAAGTAACAAATACACTTTTATATGTGCGTTTTATAACTACTTATAAATCATGAAATAAATACTACTTAAATAAACAAAAAAAAATTCTCAAAGAATTATTTAAGAAAAAATCGAGTGGTCAACGATAAATCAATCGCCATGTATATTATTCAAATATTTAATATCAATTAAAAATCGATCGATTGCAATGACTCAATGCTATTTTGTCATTTTAAAACGTAACGGTTGTAAAGCAAGAAATTGGCAGGAAGGAAAACGTTTTAAATTATTGTAATTTTTCTCTTTACACAGTTAAAAAAAGAGAATCACGAGATATAATGATATCACATATTAATACATAAGTTAATTAATGTTAAACGTTATATAGTTAAAAAAATCTATGTAGCCACTAGCCTATTATGTAAACTACCCATGTAAAAAAGTTATAATGTAAGTTCTTAATAGTTTATTTAAATGCTGAATAACTCAATTTAAGTTTTCTTTAAAACTCAATTTTAAATAGTGTTATAACCTATTTTAATATATAAAAAAAAAATTAAACTGTACAAATGAGTAATTTTTATGTAGAACGCTTTTAAAAATGAAACTATTATTTAACAAAATTAAACTTAAAATATTTTATTTAAGCTAACTGGATATCAATGGATACACGACTTTATTTAAATTTTAGAAAATTAGTAAATTATTTTTTAATTAATCTAAAAAAAAAAAAAAATCGCATCGGAATCTTTTTATTTCCCGGTGATGTTTTCGATATCTTATGATCATGACTTGCATAATATAAATTAAAACTAAATGAATACAATAGTGATTAAGTACATATTTTTTTGTTGTATTCGTAAAATATGTTAATATTTTTAAAAGAATATCAAAATAAAATTTAACAAGTCAATAACCCATTGATCTTTAAAAGATAAAATTATTTTATAAATGAATACCATTAATTATTAATTTAATTTGTTTAAGAACAAAATAATTTCAATAACTCTTGGGTTATCAACTTTTTTTTTATTTAAAAAATGAATGATAAGCGTTTCACAATCAATTAAAAAATTGGACGTTGAATTTTTTTTAACACTGCATTATAAATAATGAGAAATGGCTTCTATTGTTTATTTGAGCTCATAAAATAAAAAAATTATTATTCTCTGTAGATTTATTTTTAAAGTGAATTATTGGTTAATAAGCTTGGTGGTAAAAAGCCAAGTAAAGTAGCTTCATGTTGTTTGACTATGTTTTTTTGTTTACTTTCGATCTCTTTCAATCTGTAAAATGTTATTTTAATTTAAAATATACATATTTATGGTTCATATCCAAAAGCTAGTAAATCACAAAATTGGATTTAGAGACTTTTTTACAATTGGTACTTTGAAGGATTTTTTTTGTTGTGTCGCCAAAAATGATGAGCCGATTATATCAAAAAGGTTTGTTTTTTGCTCTTTATAAGTTTATTTTTTTTTTTTTATATATCATCTTTTAAAAACTTGATAAAATAATAATTTTGTGATAGTGTATTTTATAAATTAATAAAAATGATTGTTTTTTCTTCGGCAAATGACATTAAACAAAAAGTAAAATGATCTTATGTGAGATCATTTTACTATAAGATTAGTAATAATCTCATAATATTGTGAGATAATTACATATTTATAACAAATGTTCCGTAACAAATAAATGTGATAAACGTTATTGGTTTTAACTATTTTAAGTTTTTATTTAATATTGATTATTATATTTCTATTGAACTTTCGAATTGTATAAATCTTTTTTTTGAGTTTTACGTCCAATTAATCAATAACTGTGTAATAAAAATAGTTAAAATATGATATAATTATTAATGCTTTACCTTTGTTGTTCTAATTTAATAGCCTCTATATATTCACTCTGTTTTTTAATCCAAAGTTCTTTATTTTCAAAATGTTTCTTGTCTATCATCTCCTTTAATTCTTTTCCGTATTGGATACTTGCTTTTTGTTTATTATCATTTTTTATTTCTTCGTGTTTATTTTTTTCCTCGTAAATCTTTAAAAACTAATAATTTGTTCAATTACTAATTTAAGTAAAAATTATTTTAAATTATGTTTTTTTAGTTACGTATTCGGCCAAATTTTTATCTTGTTTTTTTTGTTTGACTTCTTTTTCCTCTTTAATAAGAAGCTGTGCATTATTTTCCTTAATTAACGCATTACGTTGATTTATTTTGTTGTCATATTCCGCTTTTTGTTTTATCCAATCTTCAATTTTTTGTTCTTCTTCTTGCAACATAATTTTCTTGTCTATATTTTCTGATTTATCTGTCTGAAAAAAAAAATTGGATTTGCAATAAATAACTTGATAAAATATTTGATGTGGCAATCTTCGTTTTTTGAAATCAAATAATTCGAAATCGGATTAATTAGTTCGCAGTCAAAAATGATTCGTGATAAATCGAATCTGAGCCTTCAATTAATTTTTTGATCGTGACATTCGTAAAATTTGTAATATATTCGTTATAACTCGTAAACAATAAGAATTGATCGTTTTTGGCCAACATTATTTAAAATCAAAAACATATTTAAAATATTAATTTAAATATGGTTTTGATTTCAGGTATAGTAACTATGTTTCCTACTTGGAAAAATGTCGAAATTCCCTTTAAATCATGTGCATAAATAACTTTACAAGTAATTTTTAAAAATGAATCATACTCAAAACTTTATTTATTTTCAAAGAAAACATGAAATGACAAAATCTTCTATAGTTTAACTTTATGTGGAACGTTTGTTTTGATATAAAACTAAATAGAACATTTTGCCTTGTNTGCATAAATAACTTTACAAGTAATTTTTAAAAATGAATCATACTCAAAACTTTATTTATTTTCAAAGAAAACATGAAATGACGAAATCTTCTATAGTTTAACTTTATGTGGAACGTTTGTTTTGATATAAAACTAAATAGAACATTTTGCCTTGTTATAAACCTCACCTCAACATTATCTAAGTTTTTTCTTTACTATACTTAATTTTTTAAATTATTGTTTTACTTAATTATATTATTTTTACCATTAAGGATACTAAATTGTTAGCAACATTTTCATAAGTTTTGTGACGTTGTTCTTGTTTTATCTTTTTTTCACTTGACAATTCATCAGATCTACGTTTTTTATACTCTAAGAAGTTTTGGATATACCTGCGCATACAAAGGCAAACACGTCAATAAAAATAGTTCAAACTAAATTTGATTGCTTGTCTAAAATGTTTTATAGTATTTATACTTTTCCGTCATGTCTATTTGATTTTGTTCATATTCTTTAAATTCATTTTTTAATCGTACACATTCATCTATTTCTTTTTTAAAATTCTTCATTTGTAATATTTTATCTTCTTTGGAATTAGTTTCTGAATTTCCAAAATTTAATGGGCAATGCATTTGAATAGCCTTCTGAGCGTTTTTTTCATTCATTGTATCTGCCCATTGTTTCTCAAGTTGTTTTTTATAAATCAACTTGGATTCATGTTGCTTCACACTAAGTTCTTTTTCCATTCGTTTTTCAATCTCGTTGACTTCTATGATTTTCAAATCGTCATAATAATCTTGTACTTTGGCTTCTATTTTTTTTGCTTCCTTTTCTTTGATTTGAGCCAACAATTCCTTTTTTGCATATGCAGTTCTTATTTGTTTTTCTAAATGTCGAAGTTCGTGACAGTTTTCATACGCCCATTGTCTTTTGTTAAATAAACAAAAGTGGTTATTAATTAAATTTAAAATAATTATATTATACTTTTTTGAAGATCCCTATAAAAAAAAATAAAATGAAATTTTTTTACGAATATTGTAATTGGATTTATATTAGAAAAAAAAAAATAATAATAATAATAATAATTTTTTTACTAATTTATCAGTATAGAAGAAACTTATATATTTTTAGATTTAAATAGTCTAAAAAAAATTGTTTTTGTTCCTTAAAATTTATGGTGATCAATGATATAGATATTTTCTGGCGTATAAATTGGTAGAAATGTAGTGCAAATCAACAATATCAACCTACTACATTTCATAACCCAGTTTTCCTCTATTTTCTAATCTACAAAAAGGATAATATAATGTTTTATAATATATATTAAGGTAAAATATTAGTCAAAAAAATAAAATAAAATTTTATTTTTATTTTATTTCATTTTTTACTCTAAACCAAAACTATTTAGAATAAAACTACAGTTCAAAACCGCATTTTGTTTTAGATTACTTTAATAAAGATACACATAATAATTTTTTCCTGCATAATAATTTGTTAAAATTGAAAAGTAATTTTAACTTGTGAATGATATAAATTACTCGTTCTTTTTTTCAACCAATTCCTTTCGTTTTAATTCTGCCATTGTTTGTGCCATCTTTTGCTCCTGTTCTAACAAAGCGATTTGTCTCGATTGTTCTGTCTTAGCCTAAGAAGAGGTGATATTTTATTAAATAAATGAATATAAACTACATTAGAATTGTAATTTGTATACCATGCTTATGTTTGCTTCAAGTTCTGCTTCTTGAGATTCCATATGCATTCGCTTATAAAGTGACATTTTAGTAGCTTTGCGTTGCATGTTACACAATTCCTTACACTGTATATCATGATTCTTGTGTTCAGTAATAGTCTTTTGAAGTTGAATATTTTGCAATTCTGATTTTTGTGCTTTACTCATTTCACGATCCTCCACTTTAAACAAATAAAACAATTTTCCATTAATTTTTATATCAATTGAAAACATTATTAAATATTGCCTAGTTACTCAAATTGAAAATAATTTAAAAAATATTATAATACAATAATAACATACATATAAAAAAAATAAATCGATGGATTGTCTTTATTATTATTTTCTATTTACAATAATTTATTTTGAGTATCTTTATCATATTCTGGATATGTAAAGCTGTTATTGTCGGCAACATTTGATTGTACACATGAATACAGTATTGTACCCGTGTGTTTAGATACATATATATATATATATATACATAATAGCGACAATCGTCAGTCAGAAGAATTTATGGTTAAATGATTGAATACAATAGCTAGCGAATAACATAATCGTGGTAAAGGACTGAAAATATTGGCTACCGTTCTTACATGATGATTCGATGAAGGCCTGGACCACCCACTTGATTTACCATTCTGACCATTGTGCTAACTTGCAGACATATAATATGTATATTGTATTTTCCCTTATTCTACAATTTTTTTTACCTCAATTCCTTTGTATTGTCCTTCTGATTCTTTTTTTATTAATCCAAAGGACCCGTTGACTGGCGTCTCTCATCTTCATATTACTCTAAACAGTTTTATCCTTTTTTGATTAAAACTTCTACCGCTGACTTTTGTATACCATAGCACAAATGTTGCATTACAGATGTTTGCATTTTTCAAATCAGAAAAAACAATAGATATATATATATATAGTACACATACAAATATTACACTAATAGTATGATTTTACGTTCTAGTAATAAGAAATTTATTCTTTAATTCGTTATTAATATAAAATGTTCAAATATAAGAAAAAAGAAAACAATATGGCATTCATTTTAAAATCATAAACTAAAAACCTTTAAAACCCACAGTTTCTTAAAAAATAATTTAGTAATTATCAATATTATTGTGTTTTTATTGTCGATTTTGAAATATTTTTTGATTAATTTATATAATTAAAATGAAATAAAAATTTATTTTTTAGTTTCGTTATCTATTTGTTAAATGTAAAGAAGAACATAGGCAATAATACTCATTTAAGGAGAAACTAATACTGTAAGATTCATTTGTACAATTTTCAAGTCTAAATTAATTTTATTACTAACCTCTGTGTTATTCTCACTTAATACTGCAACAACTTTTTGAAAAATGGACGATTTTCAATCATTTTTATACTGTTAAAAATAGTACACTTCTTCCCATCATATTTATTAAAGGCGTATTGTATTTTTCATCTTTTATAGAAGATTTAATTTAATTAAAATAGTATAAATTGAAAACCCGCGTTTTTGGAATGATATTCCTCAATGCTTAAACTATCAAGATTTGGTCATGTGAGATCATTCTGTAAATACCCGCCCCGCTGTGTCAAGTACACGGAGTTTTATGAATAGAGGTCGGAATAATATTCTTTTAAAATAGTCAAAATAAGATGCTAATATTCTCCTAAAAAATTGAAAATATTCTTCTAATATTCTTTAAAAATTTTTGTTAAATATTCAAAATATATGCATATACAAGATAATATTCTCCGAAATTGAAAATATTCTTTTATTACAAAAAAATCTTAACCTAACATTTAATCTGATATTTCAAAATTAATTAATGTGGTACAATTCTACCTATTAACTGAAATACTTTTTTCTTATATTCAAATAAACAATACATTACATTATATAATTTAACTTAAAAAAATCTGACTTAAAATGTTATCAGCTTGATAAAATTATAATAATGACATAATTTTAATTAAGAGAATTCTCCTCTTTGGAAACAATTAACAACTATGTTCATTTCCATATTTTCTGGTGTCATTTTTGTACGGCGATCTGACAAAATATTTTTGTACGTACTGAACGAACGTTCAACGTCTACTGAAGTCACAGGAGCATACTGAAAATCAGTAACCACAGTAGGTGGAAAATTACCTACAAGTTGTACATCATTATTTCCCTCCAAGACTTTTGATATGTTTTTTAAAATTGAGAGTCCCTGATTTTTTTGTTGAAGTTGATCCATTTTAATTTTAATTTTTTCTCCATTTTCTCCAGGTATTTGTTGAAGTTTAACAATTGTATTTTCAATGAGATTTATCGAATCAACAAGAGACACATTTGATTTTTCTAGATTTTTTATGCATGTTATAAGCATAAGAAAATGGGTCTTAATAAATATAAGGTCATTTTCTACAGATTTTAAGTCAAGAACTGTTTTACATTTAAGTATAGACTGACTAGGAGACTTCTGCTTTATCAATTCTTCTATAACTTTTTTTAAACTTTGGAAGTTATCACAATTAAATATAGCAGCTTCCAACCAAGTTCCCCATCTTGTCAAAACTGGTTCAAAGGGTAATGGAATGTCAAGTAATATTTCTTTATACACTTGAACATTATACGGAGCTTTTAAAAATACTTTTTTTATGTTGTTAATTAATTTATTAACGTCTGGATACATTTCTCTTACCTTCTCTGCGATCCTATTAAACATGTGAGCTACACATGTTACGTGGATTAAATTAGGGTAAAATATTTTTAATGACTGACCAGTTTTTACCATATATGGTGCAGCATCCGAGAGCATCAACAAAACTTTTTCATCATTTCCACCTGAGGGCCACAGTAATTTTAATCCATCATTCACAATTCGAGCCACTGTTGAATGGTTAGTTTTTTCCAAAACTTTACATGTCAAGAGAAAAGAACGAGTTGGGTGATTTGACTTTAATATTCCAACCAATAAATTATCAACATAACGACCGTTTATATCTGTTGTCTCATCAACCGCGATCCAAATGTTATTTTCACCAATATCATTTTTTATTTTAGTTAAAGTTTTATCATAACAAAGGGAAAGATAATTTTTTCGTAATAAACTTTCATCAGGTATATGTTTGCCAGTATATTTTTCTAAAAAAGCTCGAAATTGTGGATTTTGTAGCTTATACCACGGTATATTAGCAGCAATTAAACTCAAACATAGGTCTTCATAGAATTCATTTACATTTTTTTTAGATGTAGATTCTGATAAAAACAATTGTTTTGGATTATTAGACTTACGCTTTAAAGCTTCTTGGTGTGATGATGTGTTCACATGTTGGATTATTTGAGACTTTTTAATGCATGGTATGTGTTTGTCACACAGTTGACAAAAAAGAGTCGTCCCATCAATTTTAAAGTTTACATTATCTTTATTTAGTGGTAGTATCCACTGAGCAATTAAATTTTTTAATTTGCTTGGTGGGGTTTTCGGCATTTTGGAAAATAAGTAATTAAAAACAAACAACTAAAAGAAATGAAACTACACTCGGTATGATAATACTACGTATACACGACGAGCGACAAAGAACGATAGACAGATTGAATGTCAACTAATTCAACCACACACTTACATCATTTATGTTGTACAATAATCTTTGTACCTACCTCTTCTAGGAACACGATAATAATGATTATCATTTATAATGATAAACGAATATTTAGAGTTATTTTTATAATGTTTTTCTAATTCATTTCTACTTTACATGACTTGTAAAGCATTTTAATCATAAGTCTACACATAGTTTTCTAAAAAATAACAGACTAAATTTATTTAGTATAATATTATGTATAATTTTGGTCAAAGCAACAAAAAAAATCCAAATTCCATAAAATTAATCGAAATATTCTCAAATATTCTTTTTTAAGCAAAATATTCTTTTAACTTAAAATATTCTCAAATATGCAAAAAAAACTTTTGCTATTGATATCTTTGTTTCCCGATTTGTAAAGATTTCGAACCCCCGCATGTCTACATACGCTCAAAAAAAATATGTTAAAGAATATAATTCCAACCTCTATTTATGAATCATCTTCATGTTGAATGTCACCTATCATCTCTGCTTAATGTGATTTATACACAAGTGATAACACGGCATACTATAAAAGATGCCAAATATACAAACTATATTGCGTCCAAGATTTTTAAAACCACTCAAAAACTAATAGACTCCTCTTTTCAGTAGCAATTCAGCAAATAGTTTAGCCAGTACTTTTCTTCAACTAGTCAGTTTTATGCATTCATTATCAGTAATAATAAGGTCTTAGTACCTTCCTCTAGTCCAAATACTTCACCAAACAAATCAATATCCTCTTTTCTTGCAGATTTAAAAAATATAATCCTTCCTCTTTGTTCCTTTTACACTGAAACTATAAACTCCTTAAACTCATTTACCAACAATTTTCCATATCAACAATCTCAGTTATTTTTTGTTCTTATTTTATATATAAGCATCTCTAATTAGTAATGTTTCTACTGTGTAATAATAATTATTATTAATTATTATTAGATTATTCATTAATTTTTATTTTATTTTATTAATTTTATAGTGGTATTACCGTTCGCTGAAAATTTATAAAAAATTATCCATTTGTTATGATTTGTATTTTAATTTTTACATTGATGTAAATATTTCATTTATTAAAATAGAACTCATGCACTAATAGAAGAAAAAAAACCCAGCACAGGGGGGTCGCGGCACAGTGGTGGTGACGTGGCATAGTTGGATAAAGTATAATGATAACTGACAGTGATTAAAATCACTATAAAAAAAAAAAAAACGCTTCGATACAAATCTTTAAATAGTGTTTAATTTTAAAAATTGTTGTATTTTCCAAAAGATACATGATTTGCTAGTTCCTTATTAATATCCTGATTANATTATTCCAAAAGCTACATGATCTGCTAGTTCCTTATTAATATCCTGATTAAGATATAGTATGTCAAATGAAAAAGAGATTATTAAAAAATATTATTTCTCATAAAAAATTGAATTGATCCATATATTTTTCAAAAAGTTATAGCACTTTAAAGTAAAAAATGTAAATTATAAAATCAAGAATTTTCACATAAAAATAGCATTCGGTAGCCGTTTTCCCCATGAAGACAAGTCCAGAGGTCAAATTTTTTTTTTTCAAATTAAAGTATATTACATAAGCTTTAATTTAAGATATATATAAAAGTGTCAGACCTTCCGGAACATTTTCAAAAGTTAAGTTGAAAAAGTTAATTTTTTGTGAAAAAGTTGTCATTTTAAAACCCCCCCTGTGGGCAGATAAAGGGTCAAATTTACAAAAAAAAATATACCAAATGATAGGTAAAGACATCAAGCATCTATAAAAAAAAATTATATTGATATGTGTATTTTTGAAAAAGTTACGGCAGTTTTTAGTAAAAAAAATTGAAAAAATTTCGAAAATTAGCGATTTTTAAATTTGTAATTTTTTTGGAGGTTTCCCCCATTTACGGGGAACGAGGGAAATTTTTTCAATTTTGAAGGGTAATGTCTTCGACTAGATACAATTTGTGATCTTTTGACGTATCGTTGAAAGAAATCCGTTCGGTGAGAGCTGAGAAAAAGTGGTAACAGACACAAAAAAAAAAACACATCATAGTAAAACCAATACCTTCTCAACTTCGCATCGAAGCTAAACTATACGATTTATGATTATTACGATGTTAAATCATTATAAATATTATTACAAATGACTATTTTTAATAAGAGA